GAAAATCAAGTTGATTTAGATCAGAATTCTCAATAGAATAACTTTTCATGGGCTTCTTCTCAAACTCATACATCTCATGGAAAGATACCTTGGCTTCGATATTCTCATAACCATGCAGCTTCCTTGGATCTCCCTTATTCAAATGTGAAGGATCATTTTGTCGTTGTCTTAGAACGCTTGCAAACTGTCTTTGTAGATCCATTTCTGCCTTAATATCAGCCTTTCTTTCTTCTTTGGATTTTTCAACAAGAATTTTCTTTCCTCAGTCTTGATTTATAGGAATTTCCTTAGGTTTTGACCCACTTCCTCCTGCACCAGCTGAACCAATTACAATGTCTTTCGAAATTGGCCTTGTAGTAACAACAGTTGAAATTACTGGCTCAGCTTTCGACACACTTGGTTTTGATATCGGGATTTGATTTGTGTATACCTTGCCAACTACCTTTGCTTCTTCATTTATCACACTAGATGCACCTTCTCCTTTACCAAACTTCGCCTGCTCTCCCCCTTGCACCCCTGTAACAACAGGCGGGGCATTTGTTGGTAGGAGACTGACTATTCGAGATAATGGTGCCAATTTTTTGTGGAGAACTGATTCAAACAAAAGAATGTTTTGTGATAAAAATTCTGGTGTGATTAGAGGGGATGATCTAGGCTTCGAGATTAAAGCTTTTAACTCATTCAACAGAGTTGTGATTTTGGTGAAGCTTTTACTTTCAGGAGTAGACATTTGAGCAATCTGAGGATGCAAAGCTTCATACAACTTAACAAACTTCGTCACTGCATTTGCAATGATTTCTATTTTCTGATTGAGAGATGTATAATCCTATTGGGCAATAGCAATCTCTTTAGACATATCTTCCCGAAGTTCTTGAAGTTTCAAGTTCACATCTTCTCGAACCTTCTTTGTAACACCCAAAGTCAGGAAGGCCAAGAAGGAAAGAAAACCCTAAGTCAAAGGGGTCAACTCACCGAGTCCAGGGTGAAACTCGGCGAGTTCGAGCGGGATCCAGGTTCAGGAATTAGTGACCGACTCGACGAGTCGACTAAGGGGACTCGACGAGTCTGGTCTGAGTGAGGAAAACCCTAATCCCGGGAATTGTATCCTATATAATGGGTGTTATGTCCCTCCCTCAGCTTCCTTATCATCCTAGAGAACCTGTAAACCCTAGTTTTCGTGTGAGCTTCCATCGTTTGAGAGAAATAGCTTTGGAGGAAGGAAACTTTGGAAAGGAACTTGAAGATCAAGAAGGCTGCTTCAAAGGGGAGGTAAAGATTCGGGTTCTACTTCAGTTTGTGTTCATCTTGGAGGTAATAAGCTGCTATCTTCCTTCCTTTGCATCTAGATCTACTTTTGTTATGAGATTTGGGGGCTTTATGGTTGTTTGAGACCCAATTCGAGTTTGGGGCCTAGATATGTCGTTGCCACTGCAGATTTAGTGTTGGGATGGTCCAATATGTCATAAAGCATCAGAAGATGAGTAGTTGGTGAAGCCCTTTTGTCCCTAAACCTAGCCCTATAGTGTTTTGAGCCTTGATCTAGTTATACGTAAAGTTTGCAACTTTACATGAGGATTGAGCTTTGGGAGTATGGATATATGAGTTGGAGCCCCTGCATGGCTCGAAAAGCCATTGTATGGATTAAGAACTGGTGCAACTCGGCGAGTCACATAGGTGGACTTGGCGAGTTGGAAGAACAACTCGGCGAGTCTGTTGAAGATTGTCTTGAACTCGGAGAGTCTGTTCTTGGACTCGACGAGTCAAGTCGCGAAACCCCAAACCCTTTCGAGTTAAGACTCGGATCAGTGAGTTGAGTAAGGACTCAGTGATTTGGACAGGTCAGGACTCGGAAATCGGTGAACTTGGCGAGTCAGCAGGCAGATTCGGCGAGTAAGGTTAACCTGGAAGGTTGACCTTGACCAGGACTTTATCATTGACCAGAGTTGACTTGGTTGACTTTCGGGGGACAGTTAGACTAAGTGTTGCATTAATATTAGCAGCTCGGGGAGCTAGTGGAGCAGGAGTTCAAAGAGTTGTCGGACAGCAGCTAGAGGGGTTATCAGCAAGTTCAGCAAGAGCAGGTGAGTTTCCCTTTATGTGAATGGGTCTAAGGCCACAATGTCGGTCCATGTAGATACAAGTAGGAAGACCCGGGGGTTAGCCCTAGGCACGGTATGCTAGTACATAATTCAGGACGAGGTCCAATGATAGCGGGCGGGTGCCCAAGGAATGGTTTATATGTTAGTTTATACTTGTTGTCTGTGTGATACATGTATGTGCCTGGTAGGGAGGTGAGTGTGGGCGAGGTCCGTATCTCACCAATAGCAGAGTGTTGATGGTGTTCCACATCTCATTAGTAGCAAAACAGGGGCAAGCCCCAAGTTAAGGAAAGAATGAGTGTGGGCTAGGCCCGTATCTCACTATCAGTAAGGGCGTGGATGGGGTTCCATGACTCATCAGTAACAGGATAAGGATGGGGCCCAAGATAGGCGAGGCTTCAGGATAGGATTTATGAGTATATGTTAGCTTATGTGTTGTTATATGCTTATGTGTTATTATATGTTAGCGGGCGGGGCCCAGTGACAGGCGAGGCCTAAGTTAAACAGATATGTATCCGAGCAGGGCTCGAAGCCAAGTGAGGCCTGGAGCGGCGGGGCCGTTATAGCGGGCGAGGCCCGAGGTAGTGGGCGTGGCCCAATATGTGCAGTATGTGGTTATGCATGGTATGTGGTAGGGTGGGGAACTCACTAAGCTTCGTGCTTACGGTTTTCATTTTTGGTTTTAGGTACTTTGGGTAGCGGAGGGAAGAGCTCGGGGTGATCGCATGGCACACACCATAGATTAGATAGCCTGAGAATGTTTTACTCTGATAACAATCATGTGTTTTGGAAATTAATACCCTGTTTATGTTTTGGATTGATGATTTTGCTTTAAGTAATGTTTTATTAAAAGAAATTTTTAGTCTGAAATTTTGGGTCGTTACATTCTTCACATCTTTAACGAATAACACATGATGTTCTTAGGCAACACGTTTCAAATCTCTAACTTCCTCATTGAAAGTTGAAGACTGTGACTTTACCCTGAGTTCATTATTTTTATCATTACCATCCACCTTCTCAAGAATTCGAGGTTCAAAGGCTTTAATCACGCCAGAGAATCTATTGAACAATCTAGCTTCTTGTGCTTTAAGCATCACATCAAGTTCAACACTGGACACAAAATTTCTTCCCCCTGCATCTGCTCATTAATTTGGGCTTTTTCTTTAGTGGTTGATATTTAATTGGAAAAAGAATTTATCAAAATGAAACAGTTGAATCTTTATTCATAGTGTTACGATGTTAGGGGTGTTCGTTTAGATGGATCGGTTAGATCTGATTCAATCAAGTAAATCTGAATAGATTTCAGTTTTCAAAACATGGATCCGAATAGTCCGAACTAAATTCAAATCCAATCTGATCCAACCAAATTAGAATTCGATTGGATCGGTTTTACAATTCGGTTTTTAAGAGGTAAGACATTTAATGTGTGTGTGTGTGTGTGTGTGTATATATATATAAGTTAAATATTAGCCAACTCTATAAAAGTAACTAAAAAAGCATTTAAGTTAAAAAATAATAATTTATAAATAACTATAAATAAAAATTGATTGTAGTTTAATATTTCATTGACAAAAACTTTTGATAAGAAATACATATTAATGTATGATATTGGATGAAAGTTGTAATAATTAAAAAAATAATTTAGTAAGTTTATAAATGATTAAAGACACATGTTAAAAATAAATAATAAGTTGTTATTCATTTTTTTTTTACTGTTTGGTTCTTATTTTATAAACAAAAAACAGTCTGAAATCCAAAATAATAATTCGGTTTAGCTTAAAATCAATCTGAATATCCGAATCAAATAGTCCAATCCAATTTTTCCGATTGAACAATTCGGTTTTAACTAAATAGCAAACACTCTAACGATGCGTCATTGATTCACAACTTTGATTGTGAATGGAAAAAAGAATAAAAGATTTATATGCTCAAAGACTATGCAAGAGAAAACTCATTCCGAAAGCTAAAATGCAAGAAATGCGATGATCAAATGGATCACACCCTTGTAGGGTCCTAAGTGTAGAGCCCCTGGCACGGGATCGAGGGACAACGCCCCAAATATTTTTTTCGAAATTTGAATTAGTTTCATTATGGAAAACCAAATTTTAGTGGGTGGTTATAGTAGGATTGACAAATATTATCAGTTTTGAAAACCATTGATTAAGTCATTAATTTCGAGATATTCCTAACTAATTTAGAAGATTAAATTCTAATATGTCATGCATATATACGACTCCTCTTTTGAGTTGTATGCATAACCTTTCTCAACCAAGGACGGTTTTAAGGGGTTCCCGGTGTGGCATCGACATCCCCTAACTTTTCTGGCTGCAGTGTAAAAAATTTCGATTTTTCGATTTTTCTTAATTATTTTTCATGTATCGGCAACACCTATTCATCCAAGCCATACCTACTATGTATTCCTGCGTCCGTCCCTGTTCTCAACTACTCTTCTTCTTTAATAAACTCAGAATTCTCTTGTAATTTGGCTTGTGTTTCTGTGTCTAGATATACAAGTGTCATTTTGAATTATCTTAGATTGGCTCTTATAATCAGATATAAGGTGAAAATATCGGTTTGAAAAATGAACGATCCATAGGAATCCGAGTCTCTACCATCACCTACTAATATTCCCCCAACATTTTTCATTGAGAGAAATACAAAATTAAATGGCTATCGTTTATTTCAATGGAGTAGTTATAAAATTGTCTGATTTTAATATTTAAAGTATAGGGTACTTACTAAATACAAATGTCAAAATATAAAAGTAAAAAATAAACAATGTAAGTTGCAAAACTTTTTTTTTTAACAAATAGAGGAAAGCGATAGACGCATTGATGCATTGCACGTTACCAAGTAGTTTATTTCTTGGTTCTGGTCAAACTGCAGTCAGACAATTCTACGATGTTGTCTCCAACGCCGGCAACCACCTACACCACCATTCCAATCTCCGGAACTGACGTCATTTTCCGATCATTTCAGAATCTATCGTCCTTCTTGTCCCTACACCGTCCCTGGTCGGAATTCATCTCCGGCGCTGACTCATTCGACAGGCCAGCCTCACTCACCCTCACCGCTACCAGACTTGGCGTCAACTCGAAATACTTCGGCGTGAACTACGGCATTATCATCACTATATGCGCCGCCGTATCCTTAATCGGAGATCCAACCACACTACTAGTCTTCGCTTCTGTGTTCACCCTATGGCTTGTACTCTACTTTTTCCGTGAAGATCCGATGGTTGTGTGGGGACACCACGTTCATGATCACCTGGTGACTGCTGCTCTTGTTTTGGTCACCGGAGTTTCTATTTGGATTAGAGGTTTTGTTACAAGCCTTTTGATCGGAATTGCTGTAGGGATTTTGCTCTCGGTTGTTCATGGTGTTTTCAGAAACCCTCAGGGAATTTACCTCGACGAACAAGACGCTGCTTCTGATGGATTGATCTCACCTCCTTCAGCTTCTCCTAGGGATTACAAACTCAATTTCTCCAATTAGTATTACAACATATCTCAGCTTACTCCCTTTATTTTTCTAGCTAACCCTGATAGTGATCTGTGTGATCGTTTTCAATTCTTGGATTGGGATTTTTGATTGTTACTAGTAGATAGAGATTTTTCTTCTTACTTCGTTTTCACTGGTTTGATTCGTGAGGTGTGACTTGTGTTATATAAAATATATATGATCAATTTGATCATATTTCTACTGTGTTTTTACTTTTTAGTGAATTGTTCTTTGTTAGTATTATTGTGTACTATTCCTTTTTTATCAATGAACTCAAAACCCTAAATTGAATTGGAACTTGACTCAAAATCCAAGGCTGAATCTGACACAGTCATTCTGTAAAGAACAATCAACCTGTTTTAACTGGAAAAGCAGAATATGAAATAAACTTTACTCTTGGTTTATAAATGTTGATGTTGATTTACTAATGGTAAAACTAAAACAACATGGTAAGATTAATCATGTTATGGGAAAATTGATCTGATCTAAAAAAAGTAAAAACCTAATCTTGATTCATATCTTACTCCTCATCCTAACTAATTTTGCCAGTGTTTCTTGAGCAGCTAAAGTTTGAGCATGATTATGGCCAAGCATCACTGTTCTAATACTAATACAAGTCCTGCAAAGCTCTTCACCATTGTCAAAACACCCACCTCTCAACAACAATTTGGCTCTTGTCTCCAATAAAGTAGCTTTCAAAAGTGTCACATCTTGCCAAACATATTCATCAATTCTTTGATGCGAGTTCATCTTCTTCTTCCAACAAAGAGATCCATGGCACCAATCTTGTATCTGTGACACAAACGATTTCTCAACTTCTTCAAGCACATTTGTACACACTTTTAGCAACTCCAAAGCTGAATTACACCTGGAAAATGTCGTAAACGCCCTTATAGCTAAAGGGAGAGCTGTTTTCTTGATGAAAAGAACCATGTCATGGGCTTTTAATTGGACCAATGGTGGCTCGGATTTGAAACCGAATACCAAAAAAGCAGAAGCCCAAAGATGATCCGAGTTGAAAACCGGGTTTCCTGTTTTTCTAATGCCATGAATCGTTGCTTTTGCTGTGAGTAAACTCCCTTTTAGTTTCGCGAATGTTTGAGTTATCGGGTGAAAATGAATACAACATCCATGCTTTTGATTTGCTCTTCTGGCAAGACCAAGTTTGACCAACACAAGAGCTGAATCTTCTTCGCTTTTTGAAGTTTGACTTTCGAGAAAACCCGAACAACAAAAGAAAGTCATGTTTGCACATTTGACCCATTTCTTGAATCTATTGGTGGAGGCTGTGATGTTATTTGCACTTGAAGCAAGTAGATTTGATGAAACGGGTAACGGGGCGACCCATGCCCCGACTAGAAGCATCTTTGAAGCAAGAACATTTGTACTCCCTTTAGCTTCATGTAAAATTGTAATGCAAAAAATCAAGACTTTGAGTAAAAACTTATTGTTTCCCCAAAATACTTCTTCAAAATGAGATGAGTTTATCTCATTTTCGTCTAAACGGATATGATTTATGGCTTCAAACAGGGTCGAGGGTAAGATTGCAAGTTCAGAAAGCAACGACCCGATTACCCATAACCCGAAGCTTGACCGACCCAATTTCTCATCAAATTTACCCAAAATTTCAACTTCTTGACCCGGGTATTCTTTTCTCCTTCTTCCTTTCATCAACAACATTGCGTCTTTTACTGGCAGGGGTTGAAGTTGGATCGGGTCAAAGGTCATTACTTTTGGAAGCCGGGTTGTGATGATGACGTGGGAGCCACCTGTGTTTCTTGGTATCAAGTCATGTAAGTCTTTCCCTTCCCACCAATCTTTTTCTGTTTCAAGATTATCGATGATTAACAAATATGGCATATCGCGAAATAATTCCCGTTTTACCCTCTTGAAAGCTTCTGTTTCTTGTTCATCAAAGCTTCTAATCCTTCCTCTTTCTTTCTCTTCGTCTGCGCTAACATCTAACCCTAGATTTAACGATAAATTTAGAATATTCTGTCGGAAATAACGAGCTTCCCCACCGACCCACAAAACCATCTTGTATCTTTGAGAATATCTGTGAGCAAACTCCAATGCTACCTCCGTTTTCCCAATTCCAGGTTCGCCATTGATGCACACAATGCTGCTTCCGAAGCTTTTGTACTTCCCGCTTTTTGTTTTTTTGTATTTAGGTCTCTTCAAGGAATTTCTCCCGATTACAGGTTCCACCCATGCTTCTAATTTCGGTTCTTTACACTTTCCGACTTCCAAATTTATAAACCTCCGATCGATTTCACTTTCCTCATCCGCAAGCCCTTCTGATGTTCCAGGTGTTCTAACGTGTGTGTTGGTTTCGTTTTCATCAGTGCATCCAAAAAAAGCAGTTTCGATCTCTGTTATCTCCTTTTCTCTTCCGACGAAGAATCTGTTCTTAGGGTACGGCATTTCATCGCTGTTTTCTATTTCTTTTTCAGCGACACTCATCCTCCCGAGTTTCCCCTTCAAGATCCCGGCAGTTCTTGATACACAGTATCTCCAGTTACCTTCGTTAGCTTCGAGCTTAAACTCGTGCGACTTCATCAACCCATCAATGGCGTCTTTGCATTCTTTACTATCGGAACTCGTGAGAACGTTTGAGACTTCGTTTGTGTCAAAGTCGAAGAACAACGGGATCAAATTCTTTTTCTGAGCGAAGAATCTAATCTCTTCGAGACTGAGATAACTCGAGAGACTATCTTTGGTGACGACGACAATCCCGAACGTGACTGAACAAATTACTCTGTCGGCGATCTCGTGACTCTGAGAATCGGCGTATTTTGCTCTGTCGGCAACGAAACACGCGATACCTTGAACCTCGAGCTCCGATTTCAACCATTTACAAAACCTTACCAAGTTCGGATTTTGACCTTGACCATGGTATCCAATGTAAACATCGCAACTCCTCAGTTTTGCATTCGCCGGGGAAACAGACCCTTTCGCGAACGAAATCCGAGGAACGGGAAACGAAAACGAGACACGTGGCGCCGTTGTGGTTGTCGGATTCATATTAACATCTGAAGAAGGAAGATGAACAGGAACACAGTTGACGATTTTGAGCTTGGTGTCGTCTGAAAAATCGTATCTTTCCGATGGGGGAGTGTAGGAGGTGCTGGGAATATCATCGTTCCCGGAGCCACAATAGGATACGGGAGTAGAGGGGTGAGTGAATGTCGACGGTGTGGTGGTGGCGGTGGAGCCGCCGTTGTTGGTTGTTTCGGTTTCGTGAGGGTGATTCAGGTCTTCTCTGGTGGCTCTGGGAGATATGTAAGGAGATTGAAGGGCGGAAACAAAGGCGGAGGAGGGCGGCGAGATTAACGATGGTGAGTTATATGGAGATGATGAAATCGAAACAATGTTGGTCACGATCTCTTTTCTTGGTTTCTGGGTCGAATTTGATATTTTGATTGTGAGGTTTTTGGTTTCTTGATTCATGTTTGAAGAATATGAAAATCTAAAAAAGATAGGGATTTTTATTCATGAATCACAATCACATCAAAGGAGAATCAATCATGAAACAGAAGTTAGATTCTATAATTTGCTCAAATTTATGGTGACAGAAGAAGTCAAAAAACCGATGATTGTGACTGTGATTTTCAGAAAAATACTGTAATGAATGCAACAGTGGGAAGGAAGAACAGAACACCGAAGAGGTTACACTTACATACATGTGAAATGATGCATCATCTTTCTTTCATCTGTGGGCCTTTTTTTCACAAGTCAGAAGTACCACCAAACCCCACCACCATTTTTAACCTTTCAAGATTGAAAGTACAAGCTCAATAGCCAAACGTACAACCCTGCCTTCATTTATGATCTCTCTCTCTCTCTCATGAACATTGAACACTGAACATGGTGAGAGTGAGATCTGATTTTTGAACATAAACTAATGAATTAAGTGGCTTAAAAAGAAGGTGCAGAGTGAGTGTATTAAGGTTTAAACAAACAATTTAAGGCATAAACTAAGAATTTATTTTTATTGGGGTAGGCATTGGACAATTTGTTTTTGTTTTATGTGCTGTCTGAGTTTTACAAATTTGAAAATCTTGGGAAATTACTAAAATGGACAGAGGGATTTGACTGGAATCTAACATGGGGGTCTGTCCAGATTGGTCAGAAAAGTAAAATATTAAGAGATGGAAAGAGGCTTTGGGAGATGAAAGCTAGCCCGGAGCTTTGTTGGCAATGGTGATATACACATATATTAAAATATTAAATATATTTAATTTTTATTTAAAATGATTGATTTTGATTCTTTAGCCAGGGAAAGGAGGGCCAGGTCCAGGGGTAAATGTTAAATGTGCTTGCTCCCCTTTGTCTGGCATGGGTGATGTGGGAGTGGGTGTTTCTGAAAATGAATACATATTTGATGTATCGAGTATGGCATACTTTCATTTCCTTTCCCCCCACCATTTAATACTTTTTTCCTTTTCAATGTACCAAATAACCACCATACTCCTTTATTCACTATCATTTTATTGCTCAGAGAGCATCCATCATGTTATGTATATCCTTACTTTTTTTAAATCATGTAATATATTAAATAAATAAAGAAGAGGAAACGAAAGAACACTTGAAAAATCTCACTTGTGCAGCCTTGGGTAATCAAAAAGCTCCGCCTTAAAACATTAAAATATCTTTCATTTTCAAGTCAATCGTGGATGCTCTTGGTTTGATGCATTTTATACAAAAGGTATCTTTATATGAACTCAGACAGATTTTTGGTTATTACCTTTTCACAAAAATACAATAACAACTAATATCCACTTAGGATAAAATGTTAGATAAGAGTGGTGGGTGTGGGCAACGCTCTACACGCGTTACTAGGAGAAAAAGAAGGAAATGCCATTAAGAGATGTTATGGTGGTAACGGGAAGCAACGGGGATGCCTTCAACATGGAATAACATGGGAGGGGGTGGTGTTCATTGGCGTTATTAGGCATAATAACGCCCACTCCGAATAGCCTAATAGACAAAAGTTTAAGTTGTTGGTCTTTGTGATTTGCCAAAATGCATGCCGAGGACAATTATGATAACACCTATGTGATTGGTCATTGTTTTGGTCGTTTTGTGTTATATCATCATCAAGGTTCTAAAAGGCGCGCCATATTGTTGATGGGTGGCTTCACCACCAAGAAAACACCCTTAGCATAACTATTAGGTGTGACACGTGTCATTAGGCCTGGCAATAGAGCGGGTTTTGACCCTGATCCGATCCAAACCCTTAACAATTATACGGGTTTGGAGCAGAGTTTTTGATCCGTTTACCCGTTAACGACCCGTACCCGTTAAACCTTTTATTAAAAGGGTCGGGTATGGATCATCACCGATCCGCTCCGTTTATAACCCGCTCCATATAAATTTTAGAATTATACATTTATGTTTTATATTGCTTAAAGTTTACATTAAATTCCAATCGGAAGTCCAAAGAGAAAAGGCCAAATACTAAACTGTTTTTATATAGGACTCGACGACTCAACTTCTATACTTCCAGTCTTCTCCTAAGAGTCATGATTTCATTTCATTTATATTTTATCATGTAATTGTCAATTTCATTTATAAATCAATAAAGTCATTTATTAAACGGAAGAAAGTTTGTAATTGCTATTCTCTATCAATGCAATTGACGGTCAAAAACCAATCGGGAGTAACTAAAATAATGATTTTAATTCTAATAGAAATTCCTCGAGTACATAATGTGTTTTCTAAATCAACACTTAGTTTTATTTAATAAATGTGATTTTATGATTTAAGTAAAATGTGTTTGATTATTCAAAAACTACGGGTTATGGGGCGAGTTTGGATATTTGTTGATCTAATGGATAAGGGTATGGGTTTGATTATTCAAAACCCTGCGGGTTACGGAGCGGGTTTGGATCGGATTTTGAAATTTGTTAAAAGGGTTTGGATCAAGATCGATTCGCTCCAAACCCGCCCCATTGCCAGGTCTACCTGTCATGATTTGTCTAGGTGTGCAACATCGTGACATGGCATTTTTTTTTTTTTTGATTGGGCATGAAACCAATGAATTTTTGTTAACTTTTTGTTATAAGGTATTGATTTAACCTTTCTAAACCCTTTATAGTTGATATCATATTTCGTCATGACTCGTAAAAGATTAAAGCTTGACTTAGCCACCAATATGGGCAACATATAAATGCCCGAAACAAAATTTCTCTATATTTTTGCATAAGGCACGCCTAAGCGCCTCAAACCATCGACATCCCTCCTCCTAGCATAGAGTTTAAGATAGGTTGATTACACCAACACAAAATAAATTAGTATCGCCCCCTTTCCAAACAAGAAGCTATTATTCTATAGATGTTTGGCTTTCATCATTATTCGATGTTTTTTTTATCCTTTTCTAAATGTCCGAATGTGTTGCTATATTTTAGTTTACAAGGTTTGTATTAGGATTTATTTGACGCATTAGCTGAAAAACTGACTTTTTTTTTATGAGCTAGATTATCAATAAGTTATCTCAAGCTAGCTTATCCATAAGCTATTTTTGTAGTCTCACCAAATAAGCTTAAAAAATAAACTAACTTATACGGGCCTTAGTGTTAATTATATTTGGGTAACTGGTTTGGTGTTTGATTAAAACATTTAAGAGCAAGCCAACTAGTTTGGGTGAGCAATATCACCTCACATAGCTTAACAAAAATCATGTTGCCTTTTCGGGTCGACTTAGAAAGAAAAATCAAAGAAAAACAGAACCCTTTCACAAGAATGCTTAGGCAAATTTTGAAGTTCGGTATTTCACATATAATGTGTTAGAGGCTAGTTAATTCATCATCTGGGCATTCTTAACGAGCGAAAAGCAAAAGTTTATGATTGTTTGTTCATTAATAGTAATTTATTTTGTGATATTCATTTGTAGAACTTGAATATAGGATCTTTAGGTAATCTTGACTAAAACTAATATATGATTAAAACGAGTTTAATTGAAACAAAAATATTGGATGAAACCTAGACCTGACAAACGTGTCGTGTCGTGTCAGATTTGTGCCGTGTCAAGACATTAAACGGGTGGAGAGTGCTTGACCCTAACTCGACCCGTTTAATTATTATGTCGTGTCGTGTCAACCCGTTTATTTTTGTGTCGATTTCGGGTTAAAGTTTAAACCTTATAAATATGTTGTGTCATGTCGGGTTGAAACATTTTAAAGGTTGAAAAGTAAAAATCATGGAGGAAAAACAATCAAAAAGTGAAATGCTAGAATTGGGAGGTGGAACGGAAAAAAAATTATAGTAATAGTAAATTTAGAATGCAAAATGGAAAGAGTTAGAGTTAGGAAGAAAATAAGATAGGTAGTGAGGAGAAGTAAAATTAAGTCACTTTGAAATTTTGTATTTTACTTTTAGTTTTTGAAATTGGGCCACTGCAAATATATAATATTGAAAATATTTATCAAAATATGAATGAGTCATCTTCGAGTTGAAAGTCTTAACCCTAACCCTATCCGTTTAATTACCGTGTCGTGTCGTGTCAACCCGTATACATAAACGGGTCGAAATCTATGACCCTAACCCGCTAACTTCATGTCGGGTTCGTGTCGGATTGTCATGTTGTGTCAATTTTTCCCGGTCTAATGAAACCCAAAAGTTAAATATGAAGAGAAAGTTGAAAATGTTTTGTCTTTTCCATCCTATGTGGAAAATTTTCGATTTTAAGGTTTCTTGGAATCTATTGAGGTTGAAATATTGTTGGGTTCATAATCTTGTTCAAGAACAAAGGAGAAAATGGAAGTCTTATTCGGTTCTATTTATTTATATTCACTGGAGAAGTAGTAAAATTTGTTCATGGTTTGTTCAGTTGTTTGTCCAAAAAAGTTTATGTAATCAAGTTCTAAATATTTTTTATGCTATTTATATTGCAAATTATGATTTTTTTTTTTTTTTAAAATTCATGCATGACATAAGATGTGCATTGATTTTTATATTATAACATAAACATATTATGCATTGAGATTGTCGATTTTGTTTAGGCGGGGAATACGTTGCTTATATTTATTATTATTATTATTATTATTATTATTATTATTATTATTATTATTATGTGGTTCGTTTAAAAGTATATTTTACAACATTTATAATACATTGAACTCCATAAATGTCAATGATTTGACACATCATTATTCTATACTAGACGTAACCTCGCGCGTTGTGCAAGAATACATCTAAGTGGTTAAAATAATTATGAGAAAAAAATAGAAATATGTTGAAATTTATGTTTTTAGTCACGTTTTGGGCATTTACCGAATATTTAAAATGTTTAATTAAATATTTTCGACATTACCCTATATAACATATGATAAATATATTAACGATTAAACCACAATATACAATGACTGTATTACAATAATCAAAAAACAAAGAAAATATAAAAAAGAATTAGTATAACAAACATACAAATTAAAAGTTTTAATATAATA